AATATATATATATATATATATATATATATATATTTTATATATATATATATATTGTATATATATATATATATATATATAAACCAAACTGTTTGTAAATCCGTCAAGAATTCATTGAGATAAGAGTATTTGTGTTCGTGCTGATCACTCACCTTACATTAAGTACCACAGAGCACACCAGAAAGCCTGCCTGTGGTAAGATGGCCGCCCGGTGATGACGTTTGAGACTCCGCCGTAAGACATCTAGCCTTTATTATGGATATCTATGCAGGACACCACCTATTCAGCCAGGCCAACAATCCCACTTTAACCACCCCCCTTTCAGACACCTAGTTGGGTATGGGGCATTGCAGGCTAACAATAGAGGCCAAACGACCCCCATTCCAAAGGGGCAGACCCCTTTGTCCGTTCTAATTTGCATGTTTTCGAAACAAAAACAAGGCTTTGTTGGGCTACTGTATACTGTAAAGCCTCAAATTCAACGCTATTGCTGACATTTTTAATTGAAAAAGCTTCCTGGATGAGAAATGAAATGTCTTCAAACTTGGAAACAAAGTCCAGTGGATTGTTTTTAATTTTCTTTTTTTTTGGGATAACTATGACCTGGATGACTTAAAACCTTCACAAGGATTTTTAACAATAACAATTTTCCTAATTCCTGCTTCCTCCTGTCACATGTGCCTACTGATCTTCACATCCTTGTGTTCATTTGTGAGCGTTTCTCAGTGCAACTGTGTAAAGTGCTTTGACTGGTCAGTATGATGAGAATATATTAACTCTGTCCATTTAACACTTGGGGTAAAAACAGAATTTATTTTTGTGACCCCAAAAATATCAGGGATACAAACCAAAGATCCTCTAAAATACATATCAGCTAATTATATTCATTTTTGAATAAATATATGTTTTTTATTTACATTTAGTTATTTCATTCATTAAATGTAATTCATTTAATTGTGCATTTTATAATTAAATGTTATATTTAATATTTTAATCATACATCAGATAAATAAATGTTACTTATTTAGCATATTTATTTACTTTAGGATGTAATTTTGCCCTCCATATACCTTAGCAATCACATCATGATGACGGTGAAAACCATTTCTCGACTCCTTGCTTGATGTTTCACCTAAAGGGGATCCAGACCCCACTTTTGGGACCCCTGTTCTAGAACAAATGACACAGCAGGAAGATGGAAAAAGCTTAATAATTTGATTTGGATACAGAAAAATATCCTCCTAAGCGATGTTCAGTCCATCGACTACAGTTTGAAATAGTCTGTTGTATGTCCAACCCTGTTGAGTTCTGAGATGCAGAGATCCACGACTCATATAGGGAAATCTGTTGTCAGGGAAATTATCAGTACTTCACCTCACAATCTGAGTTGGTAGAAGCTTTAACAAGAAAGTCCTTGTTGAAGCAAAGCAGTTTGCCACTAGCCCAAATTGAACCTGTTGACCAAAATGCCCATCAGGATGCATATGGAAGCATCGTGTCATCAAGAACTGCTTACTTCATTAGAAACAGGACAGCAGGGCCTGAGTTGCTGAGGAGACGGCAGCTGTTGCATTAATGCTTTTACTTTTTTACTTTGCCATACATCTCAGCTTCAGAATGTTGTTATTAAAGGGTTAACTCAAATGTAAAGTATTGCTGTAAATCTCTGTAAAGACCAAAGAACATAGGGATCCATGGTGCTCACCGTTTATCACACCGTTTATCAGACAATGTCTGTTTCAGTTTTATCACCTGTTTTTGTAATGGTTGCTGTAAAACGGTGGAGGATGCAACGTTTTTTTTTATTGCAACAATTCTAATTTGTGGTTTTGATATTTAATATGTTTAACCCTAGAACTGTATCTACAAGTGTGTTTTATATTTCTGCAGTATAGAGAAGTTGAGTATTTTCATCTAATTTTCCCCCTCAGCCTCCTCCACCCAACCTGGACAGTGTGTTTCTCTACATAGATGAGGTGATGGATGTATCAGGTCGGCTTCTCAGCATGTTGGACCAAAAGCAGCTCACCCCTGAAAACCCAGACTTCCTAGAAACCCTCTGTAAGTCATCAAAGCCTTTATTATCCTTTGTTTAGCATTGTTCCATCAAGTTATGATTATGACCACTAATTTAGAGTAAAGTATTAGAAATGTTTTATTTATAGATCAATTGTGTCGAGGCTACTTGCAGACTGGAGATAAATCTTTTTACACTCTTAATTCTTTATTTTTAGATAAGTATCAGATAAAGAACTTAAGTGAAATGATCTTGTTCTTGTGAGATAGAACAAAGCTTTTTCAACCTTGTTGGGAGTAGAAAGATGCGTTAATTCTGAGACAGTGTTCATGTATTTCTGCGTTTTAAAATATATTTTTACATCACTTTATATGGGCCCCACTATTAAGGCCAATGTGTAAACATTTTCATCCCCACAGAGCAGATCTTTAAAGGAGGCGTGAAGTGGTTTGTCTTTCCAAACCTTTCTTTTGTGTTTGCATATCCCTAACTCTTGCAATAACCGCCATAATTACCTCCAACTTCATGGCTTAGGACCTTCTCTTTCTTTTATGGCCAATTTCTGATGCAATCTCCTCATTTGAAACCAAATTAGGAGATTTGGGGAACCACTGGTCTCCCTTAAAGAGACTTTATGTAAGTTTTTAACTATAGATATTTTTGAAAAAGCCTTTTTTTGTTTTACCCTTTACGACTAAAACATCGTTAGATCAGCAAATGGACGCCTCAGTAGTCGAGCAGCGATGCATGTATAAGTCTGTAGTCGATGTTCCTTTATTTACTTTGGGTCAGAAGTTCCTGCGCTGTTCGCCCGATGTGACATCGAACGCGCTAATGCTAAATGCACGGTAAAAAAAATATTCAACCGTTTTCCGCATTTACTTAATCATTTTTAGCTATGTTTCATTGTAACATGAAAAAAATGAGGGGAAAAGCATAAACAAATAAATTTGCATAAACAAATTTGATTAAATAAATGCTAAAATTAGTTGCATTATTTTTCACAGTGTGGGTCCAACCTAGCAAATAATGAAAGCAATATTTTGATTGCTTTGTACTTCAAAAGCGACATCCAGGCATTCAGCTCAACTCAGACGCTGATGGAAACTCCTTGTTGGGTGAAAAAAGTAAAACAATAAAAACAAACTTGTAGACTATAAGCACTATACAAATGTGTAAGTAGCATTCTTCCTTTTGTGTTTTGGCCACAGGTGGCAGTATCATAAAAAAAACTGTAATGGCTCTTTAACATTAGCAAAGACCGCAGTCTTTATTGATCATCCACTACACAACCACAAAAAAAAGAACCTCATTACAAGTTCCCATGGTCAGATCATACAGTTAGATGCTGTTAATAATCACACACTCTTAAAACCACTGGGTCATCGGCGACCTGGTGGATGTTAAGTGGGGTATCCCTAAAATTCCACCGGTACAATTTTTACTACTATAGACATGTTAGACATCACTGGAAAGCCTAGATTCTCCACAATTCAACTAGCAGGTTCATTTTATGGACATAGCGAGCACCATAGCACATGTAAACATGACAAAGCAGCCACAGCTACATACCTTTGAAGGCATCCAGAAGCCGTTTTATATATCCAATCTTCAATTGTTTATACTTTATTCGTCCATAAGGGTCCACAGATTAAAAGTCATCCAGCTAATTTGTAATAAAAATATTCCTTGATGAGAAAATCACCCATAACATCCGGTTGTTGACATCAGAAAAGTTAACTTGTCATAGCTTATTCTCAGAATCTTGCTAATATTTACTTCCCAATACTTATTTCCT